GGGCAGGTGGAGAATCTTGAGCACAATCCATGCTGAGTGTGAGCCCAACACAGGGCTCAATCTCATGACCGAGATCATGACCTGAGGTGAAACCAAGAGTCAGCCACTTAACCAACTGAGCCACCCAGGCGCCTGAATTTTTATTTTCATTCCAGTTTAGTTAACATACAGTGTTGTATTAGTTTCAGGTGTACAATATAGTGATTCAATAATCCTATATTCTCAGTGCTCATCATAAGTATCTCCATCACCTATTTCACCCAACCTCCCCCACCCCCATCTTTGTTAACTTATCAGTTTCTTCTCTATATTTATTTTTTTGTTCTCTATATTTAGATTAAATAATGAGAACAGAATTTGTGACCATGAAGTTTCAATGTTTCATTACATTTTTACAATCAGAAGTGTTTAAAAATATTCAAACTCCTCGTTCCTAGGTGAGAGCAGAAACTGAAAAAATCAAGGAATAAAAAATGACAGTCTTATAAGTGATTTTAGATGTTGCTATATTTTGTATCAGAAATCAGTTACTCCTTTGGAGATCACACATAATTACTCAAAGCTCAACCTCTGGTAGGCTTCCCAATTTAGCCAAACAAATTATTATAATCTCCATATAGCTAAAGATATAAAGAGTGATGTCCCTATGTGTTTAATGCAATTCAAAGAAATATGCTCCAAAGAATCAGGTTAGATTTTAAACAGAGTAGAGAATATAAAAACCAAATGCGTTTCAGTGCAGGTGGTGATGGGAAAGAGCCCATCCCACTTCAGGGGCAAGAAGAGACTGAGATCAGGGGCCAGAGTCAGGAGTGAAGGGGCTGTTGCTCAGACAGTGCCAAGAAATTCCTGGTAAGCTCAGGTGTTATCCTACCACACAGCAAAATTAATTTGTGATATTGAGAAAGAAAGCTTGTCCTTCTTTTACTGAGAACTAAGTGCTTGGCAGGACTGTGTTGGCACAATGGCTGTTATGTGCTTTTCCACCCACCTCCTGGAATGCCTGAGCTTCCTACCTTCTGAGGCACTAATGGTTTGCCCATGCGAAGTCCATACCCTAAGCATGTGAGGATAGAAAAAAATCAACTCAATAACTGAAGGACCAGAGCCCATTTCTGCAAACTTGGGGGGTCAGCCAGGAGTAAGACAGAGCCCCCAAATTACCACTGCCTCTACCACTGAAGTAAAGATACAGAAAATCTGTGACAGCCTGATGCCTTCCTGCACTGTCTGAAGTCAGGATCAGTGCTCCCAAGTATTGCTAATGGATGTTCCCCTTTGACGCAGCCCATTGATATCTCTTACTCCAAGAATACCAAGCTTGCCCAAGGAAAAGGGGATACACTATTTCATTAAGCATTTAATAATAAATCAAGATAATTAATTAGATACCTTTCAGCAGCATACTATCCATAAATCTGATGTGTCCCTTGCTAATGGTACCAAGAATAATCAAAGTGTAAAGTCTATAGCATATAGACAAGCAGTACTCCTGGGAATATTTGTATTTTTCACCAGACTAGTTAAGAGCATACACTTTAAAAGCCATTAATGTACACAAAAACACACATATAAGGATGTATATATTCCTTAAGTGAAAGGCTAAAAACAAATAGAAATTTCTATCTATAGGTAAATGGTTAAATAAAATGTAGTATACTTTGTAACGGGAATACTATAAAAGGGAAAAAAAAGGATAGGCCTATATTTACTAACTGAAAAAAATCAAGTTGCAAAACAAGCACTTTATCATTTATGTTAACAAACATAAAATCACTGTACAGATATACATATAAGTATGTAAAAACAGAAAAAGTCTGAAAGGTTACAACACCAATCTTATTAACAACAGAGCTATAAATTACTAAGATATTTACCAAAGAGGGAAAATGTACAAAGAACAAGCAGGAATAGTTAACTACCAAATATCATTTTTACCTACTGAACTACTTAATGTCATTTTGACAAGTGTCATTTTGACAAGTATAAAAGAAAACTATCAGTTCATTGCTGTAATTCATATAATTTTTTCTAAGAGTTAACAATGTTTATCAATAGCCTTAAAAAGATGCATTCTTTTAAAATCAGAATTACCAGGAATGCCTGGGTGGCTCAGTCAAGTGTCTACCTTTGGCTCAGGTCCTGTTCCCTGGGATTACCGCGCATCTCAGCAGGGAGTCTGCTTCTGGCTCTGCCCCTCCCCCAGCCTGTGCACACATGCTCGCGCGTGTGCTCTCTCTCTCAAATAAATAAACTCTTAAAAAAATAAATAATAAAAAATAGAATTACCATATGATCCAGTAATTCCACTACTGGGAATCTACCCAAAGAAAAAACACGAATTTGAAAGATGTACTCCTATGTTTATTGCAGCATTACTTGCAATAGCCAAGATATGGAAGCAACCCAAGTGTCTATCCATAAATGAATGTATAAAGAAGATGTGATATATATACACAACGGAATATTACTCGGCCATAAAAAAGAATATTTCTTTCTGTGACAACATGGATGGACCTAGAGAGTTGCTAAGTGAAATAAAATAAGCCAGAGAGAGAAAGACGAATACCGTATAATTTCACTTATACGTGGAACTGAAGAAACAAAACAATCAAACAAACAGACAAAAGAACAGACTCTTAAATACAGAGAACTAGTAGTTACCAGAGGGGAGGAAGGTGGGAGGACAGGTGAAATAAAGGGGACTAAGAGTACATTTAATGTGATAAGTACTAAGTAATGTTAGAATCGCTAAATCATATCATACACCTGAAACTAAAAGAACACTGTATGTTAATAATACTTCAATACAGAAAAAATAAACATTCTTTATCTAGAAATGTCCCTGTGAGATCTACTCAAAAGAAAGAGATATGGAAAACTATGTAAGTACAAGGATGTTCACCACACTGATTTCGTAACAGTGAAAAATTAGGAACATCTAACTGCTATCTACAGTCTAAATGTCTGTGTACCCCCCAAATTCATATGTTGAAATCCGAATGCCCAATGTGATGGATTTGGAAGGTGGGGCTTTGGGGAAGTGCTAAGTCAGAAGACCAAAGCCCTCATGAATGGATCAGTGCTTTTTTTTTTTTTTTTAAGATTTTATTTATTCATTCAAGACACAGAGATAGAGAGAGAGAGCACGAGCAGGGGAAGAGGCAGACGGAGAAGCAGGCTCCCTGTTGAGCCAGGAGCCTGACGTGGGGCTCGATCCCAGGGCCCTGGGATCATGACGCAAGCCAAAGGCAGACGCTTAAGCATCGGAGCCACCCAGGAACCCCAGATCAGTGCTCTTCTAAAAGAGATCCCAGACCCTAGCCCTTTCCACCATGTGAAGACACTGGCAAAAAGGCACTATGAGCCAGAAAGCCCTTACCAAGTACCAAATCTGCTGACTCCATGATCCTGGACTTCCCAGAATTAAATTTCTGAGTTTACAAGCTACCCAGTCTGTGTGGACTAAGGCACCAACCACAGAGGATTTGTTCAGTAACTATAGTCCAGCCATATAAAGATTATCTCAGAGCCTTAAAATCAGATTGTATATAAAACTGGTGAAATCTGAGTAAGTTCTGTGGATTGTACCAATATCAATCTGCTAGTTTTATACAACATACTATAGTTATGGCAAGATGTTACTACTGGGGGAAACTGGGCATAAAAGTACATGACACCACCCTGTGTTTTTTGGGCAACTTGTGAATCTGTAATTATTTCAAAATAAAATTTTTATAAATGGGGGAAAATATTGTAGAAGCATTGAAAGCATTCATGGAAACTTGGAAAAAAGGCAAGCTGCTACCTTATACAGAAATTTTGAATTTTGTGAAATAACGCACAAGTGCAGAAAAGACTGGAGAGACAAAATCAGTGTTATAACTGGTTATCTCTGAGCAGTAGCATTTTTTATTTTCATTTTTGTACTTTTCTGTATTTTCATATAATTAACATCAATTGCTTTCACAATCAGTAAATATATAATGAAACATTTAAGATCCAAATTAAGAGACACATCAACTGGGAAAATCATTCTAGGCAAGTGATATAAGACTTGCCTTCAAAGAAGATAAGAAAAGCACAAACAAAAATCCAATTCACAATTAATAAACATGGAAGAACGTTCAATCACCTTAGTCACTGAAGAAATGCAAAATAAATCAATTATTTCATTTTAACCTATATGGTGAACTTTTATAAATTAGAATGCCGGATGATGACAAAGATGCAGTAAACTGGGCAACAATACTGTCCTAAACACTTCTGAAAGCAATCTGTCAATAGACATGTTGGTATGAAAAACTTTTAAAATGTTCACTCTTTGACCTACTGCAGTAAAATTTAACCTAAAAGCTTTCTACAAGAGTGTCCTGTATCAAATTACTCCACATAAAGAAAAATTGGAAACAAAAACATCCAACAAAAAAGTTGTGTTTTTCTATGATAGTCTTTAAAATGACACAATAATGAATCTGACAAGACAGTTTAACTACAACAAAGGCTTATTTTTCTCATTTAAATTCTCAATAACCATGTTCGATTAATTTTGTTTAGGATTTAATAATGAATTCCATCAAAATCCTTATCTCTTCCACAGAATTAGAAGTAAGCCCCTGAGGCTACACAGTTACATAAAACACCTGTTAAAGGATGTAAACTGTCCAAGTGCACTCTGAAACCAGCTGCCAAAACCACCACAAAAATATCCAAATTGTCAGTCCATAAAACAGATCAATCACCACCTCTGTATCTAAGCAATATATGTCATCACCAAATAAGCCAAAAGCAGTCTTCATTATTGGTCCATTTTATGCCAGTTCCTATGTGGGGAGTGATATATGAAAGGAAAAAAGAGAGATATCAAGTTCCTGGCAAAACGATACCCTCTGGTCACAAAAGACAACAGTTTTAAGGTAAAAGAACCAAGTCAGGAAAAAGTCATCATGAATATGGTGAAACTATCTCTTTGGTCATATCTAACCATTTGTTTTACTTACCTATTTACTATCAGAAACAGAAATCCCAAGCCACTTAACCCTACAAATGCTGAAAAACAAAGTGTATAAATTAATTAAAGTTATTTGCCTCATGGCAAATCAATCATCCAGGTTTAATTTTTACATCTCCAATACTGAGAGGAACACCAAATCACAAGTACTTATAAAAAAAAAGAAAGACACAAAACAAACACCTGTCATTTCATCTAGGATAAAACTTCAGGATTCTACTAGAAGATGCTTAGGGGTATTCCATGAAAACAAAAATGAAAATTAAACTGGGAATTTTTCACCCATTCTGACAGGGAAGAATAACAACTAACATTTATGGAACACTTAATTCACCTTCATAACAACTTCAGTTAAATACTACTATCATCCACATTTTGCAGATAAGAAAAATGTTACTGGTGGAGCGTGTGACTCTTGATCTTGGGATTGTTGAGTTCCAGCCCCACAATGGGTGTAGAGATTACTTAAAAATAAAATCTTAAAAAAATTTTTAAAAAGTTACTTTACCCAAAGGTAATGTGCCCAATATTGCAAAGCTAATAAGGCAGAGGCAGAATTTGAATCTAGGCAGTTGGGAGTCTGCCAATACAATTTTACAGTGGTTCTTAACCACTACACTACAGTTACCTTAAAGTTTTAAGACAACCAGTTATTAAAAAAAAAAAAAAAAAGATAACCAGTTACATACCATTTAAGGAATATTATAAATCTCCTCACCAAGCCAAATGGTCCCTGACTCAGTTCTGCCTAGAGTGGTTAATAATCCAGAAAAAACTGGGTATGCCACCAGATAACTAGGGTCCTCAGAGCAGGTCAATTCAGCTCTGCCCTGATTTCTATCTCAGGGCCAAGGTACTTTTCTATCCTAGGGCCATAGCTAATTTTCAATTAAATAAAAAAGATAATATTCATGGCAGTTTATGCAATAAAATTTACCCTCTATCACAAGCACTTATCTTTATCTGAATTATTTTGTCAGCAAGCTCCACAATGGCAATGACCTTATGTATGGTTTACTGCTCTCTAAGCACCCTGAACAGTGACTAGCACACAGGAGGCCAACAAATAACATTTTTTAAATGAATCAATGGATGAACAAATGCTATATGAGTGTTTCTCAAACTTTACTGTGCATAGGGAGAAAAAAAAAAGAATCATCTAGGGATCTTGCTAAAATGCAGATTCTGATTCAGCAGTTCAGGGACAGAGGCTAAGAGTATTCTAAGAAGCCCCTGGGTAACTAAGTTTGCTGCTGGTCTACGGCTCACACTGAATAGCAAGGTAACTGGACCACCCGAAGTCATTTCCCCCAAACTCTTCAAGTAGTCAAGAATCAGGATTCACTTACTCTCCACTGTGGAGGAAAATCTGAAGTTTATTCATCAATAAAGCTATTACTGCTGATCCTCTGGTATCAGAAGGAAAGACTTATATCCCCAAATTCCCACCACACCTCAGTTAGATGGCATCTATTGACTGTTTAAAAACAAAAAACAAAACAAAACAAAACAGGCTTCCATAGATTAATGGCTTAGCTTTTCGGGGGGGGCGGGGGCATCAAGGATTACTCTGAAAATATAATCAGAACTACAGACTTCTCCCTAAAAAGTTCTATAGGAGATTCATGAACTCCCTTATTAAAATTAAGAACTCTATTGGTATTTAGCATTTAAGTAATTTAAATAGTCCTCAACATACTGAGTCATTTTACTCCAAACTGTCATCTGATAAAGCCAATAGCTAACTATACAAATGAAATTAAAAAAAATTCCAACTTCAAATCGGTATTAAATATGAAAATAATCCTTTTCAGAAATGTGTATAGTCAAGTCAGCAAACTGTTATTTTTAAATAAAAATGACCAGAAAACTAAGATGAGATTGTCTTTCCTAAGTGTATATGAAAGCAGCAGCTCACATGTAGTATTTATTACGCACCAGATACTATTTGAAGTACTTTGTTAACTATCTTCTTAACAATCTTATGTAAGACAAATTAATATTATCCTCATATGTTATTAGTATTATCCTCAATTTATACATAAGAAAACTGAGAAGCAGAGCTGAAACAACTTGCTCAAGGTCATAACAAATAGAAAGGGGCTGAGCCTGCCCCCAGTTCTTAACCACTCTTTTGTGCAACCCTGTATATAAATGTATCTTATCATTATTACTCAATCACTGCCCCATTTTTTTCCTTTACCTAACTCAAAAGGCTAGAATAATCCTATATTTCTCTTACCTTGCTTAACTGCAAATGTTTGTAAATTCCAGAAATTTAATTTCTAATAGCTAATTCAACAACAAATATTTTAGCACCAACTTATGTGCACTGTTAGTGATACGGGGAAAAATACTGCCAATAAGCATACAGTCTCTTCTGAAAAATTGAAAGTTATACAAATCAGGACATTTTTGAGCATGAAACAAGATGGGACATCTGTTCCAGAAAATAGGTGTACACTATAACTATCTGGGACAAAATGGGATGTATGATCACATTAACCTATTTCGTAGTTTGCAATATGTAGTGGTATGAAGTACTGGCCACCTATGTACAACACAAACCCTGGATTACTCCTGACTTTCTGTTTTGACACACAAAATGCTTTTCTCTTCCCTCAATAATACATAAACCAAACAAAACTTAACTCCTCATCCTTGGAGTCTGGCTTTAAGTCTACACTTCATATTCTACCCCTAGCAATATTCATCTCAAGTACTCCTCTGAAAAAAGAAAAAGAAAGAAAGAGAACTCCGCTGTCTTTGGTTTAGAGTCAGTCATTTATAAATACAGAGATATTTTCTGAACCAAAGTTTGGCTCAAAAGTTTGGCTCTATTCCAAGAAACAGACAAGAGAAGACACATTAGTAAGTGATACTCAAAAGTTTCTTTTTCTTACATTTACCTATAGGGGAACATTAGAAAAAATTTTCTTCGTAAAAGAGGAAATATAAATCTATTTGCATTTTATCATTTGTATTCCTTTAAATCTTGCATATAAATGAGTCTGTATTTTAACATACTGAAATCTTCCTTCTTGTTTTATAAGTTTTATTTGCCCAATTAAAAGTATACTCTAGGGCGCCTGGGTGGCTCAGTTGGTTAAGCGACTGCCTTCGGCTCAGGTCATGATCCTGGAGTCCCGGGATCGAGTCCCGCATTGGGCTCCCTGCTCGGCAGGGAGACTGCTTCTCCCTCTGACCCTCCTCCCTCTCATGCTCTCTGTCTCTCATTCTCTCTCTCAAATAAATAAATAAAATCTTAAAAAAAAAAAAAAGTATACTCTTAAGCTATAAAAAATTTAAAATAAGGTAATTAACCCATTTGGCTTACCCAGAATCAGGGTAAATTAGTAACAAGGCTCAGATTAGAACTCAAAAAGGTATACATATCTCTCTCTCTTCTTTTTTTAAGGTATATATCTCTTAAATCAGTGCTATCTCACAGTAGTTTTTGCAATTACCAGTGCCATTATGATGTAGTTTTAATAAATTTTCCAAAAATGTTCAACAAAACAGGCACAAATTACAGTCATTTTGGAAGGCTACTATTTATATACTGGACAATTTACACCACAACAGAGTTGCCATGATGATCAAATGATAGTTGTCGTTTAAGCTCTTCCCTAGACTGTGTTAAAAGGCTTAATACATAAACATCAAGAACACAAACTAACTTTGTCAGAAGAAATTATTATTCCCAAATTACAGATAGGAACTTGAGGTTCCAAAAAGCGGTCACTTGTCTAAGGTCATACAACTAACATTTGAACCCAGGATTCCAAAGTCCTTACAGAAAATCACAGTGCATAATGCAAAAGTTTATAATGTTTTCAAGACTGGAAACCTGCCTCAAGAACTAAACATTAAAGAAAAAATTTAAGCAAAATACAGAATATAGAAACAATAAAAGAAAATGCTGTGAACACCATCAGAGCTAAAGAGTCATTTTCCATTTTCACTTAAGGATCTTCAAAGAGGTTAAAAATCTTTAATGACTTCACAATGATAGCTGTCTTAGTTTCTCAACTTCCTCTGCTTTCCGCTCCTCTGCAATATAGACTCAGACCCCCTTTCAACTACAGGGTCAAAATCTTTTCTTAAGCTCCTAGGTAGTGGGGCGCCCAGGTGGCTCAGCCGTTAAGCGTCTGCCTTCGGCTCAGGGTCATGATCTCAGGGTCCTGGGATGGAGCCCCGCATCGGGCTCCCTGCTCAGTGGGAAGCCTGCTTCTCCCTCTCCCACTCCCCCTGCTTGTGCTCCCTCTCTCGCTGTGTCTCTCTCTGCCAAATAAATAAAATCTTTAAAAAAAAAAAAAAAAAAGCTCCTAGGTAGAAAATCAAAATTACAGATTTGAAATGTTCATGACTACTACCAAGGATCATTTCCATTACCTGGGAAGTAATATGGAAGTAATACGGATATGCCTGATAGCCCAAACAAACCCAAACTGATACAAAATAGTTGAATATCAATATTCCTGGCTTCTGGTTTTTCAGAAAACTGTAAACCAGTTCACTGTAATTTGAAGCACCAAAAGGTACTTTTACATCTCTATGTTCATTTCTAAGCATTTTAGTCTACTTTTCACACTTCAAAGATAATTCCTACTTCATTCTCAGTCCATTGTATCTGAAAATATTTCTACTTGAAAATATTTTTATTCATTTTTAAATTCTGCATCTACCTCCAATAAATATTACAAAATCAAATTGTTCAGAAACTGCTATTCACTTATTTATAATTTCTCTTGGCAATCATTTCACAATTTGTTTAGGCACTTTCTTCTTCTAAGTCATTTTTTATTTTCTTAATTAATTTATTTTTTAAAGATTTTATTTATTTGACAGAGAGAGCACAAGCAGAGGGAGAGAGAAGGAGAAGCAGGCTCCCTACTGAGCAAGGAGCCCGATGTGGGACTACATCCCAGGACCTTGGGATCATGACCCAGGCCGAAGGCAGCTGCTTAACCGAATGAGCAGGCGTCCCTCTAAGTCATTTTTTTTTTATTTTTATTTTTTTATTTTTATTTATTCATGAGAGACAGAGAGAGAGAGAGGCAGAGGGAGAAGCAGGCTCCCAAGGAGCAGGGAGCCCGATGTGGGACTCGATCCCAGGACCCTGGGATCATGACCTGAGCCGAAGGCAGACGCTTAACCATCTGAACCCCCAGGCACCCTCTCTAAGTCATTTTTTTAAAAAATCATTTTCACTCAGTGACATCTATTAACATTTTATAAATAAATTATTTAAGAGTCTCATGCTCTACCGACTGAGCTAGCCGGGCACCTTACAAATAAATAATTTAAATGGGAAAAACCAGTACTGTATTTGGGGTGAAAGGCACAATGTTATGATTACTATAATATAAATGATTTCAGATTCTAAGGTTAATCTAAAATTTAAAATATTACCTAAAAAAGCAGAAAACTTTAGAAGTCAAATAAATTATTTTAAAAATTATGTAAGAGCTGGGGGAAGAAGGGAATGGGCAGTTATTGTTTAATGCACACAGTTTCAGTTTTGCAAGATGAAGAGTTCTGGATGTGGATAGTGGTGATGTTGCACAACAATGTAAAAGTACTTAATAACCCTGAACTATACACTTAAAAATGTTTAAGATCATTAAATTTTATGTTATCTGTATTTTAAATAATTAAGAAGAATTTTAAAAGTTATCTAAGAGTTATTAAAGCATCCTAGAGTGCACAAAAGTCATTATTACCTAAATAAGTGGTTATAAGTATTCATTTTCAGGGAAAAACTCAAATTGAGACAGAAACCCAATTAAAACATGGCCAAACAACTAAAGCAGACGTAACTGCTAAAAATATTAGAGGGGGGGAAAATGATCTGAAAAACAAAAACGTTAGCAACCATAAAAATCATTAAAAAAAAAGTGTAACCTGTCATTTAAGTAATTTGATAGAAGGAAGCATGATGCTGTTTTGAACTTACAGAATGTGTTTTAAGGGAATTTATGTCGGTACATCTCTGAAAATTCTGTGAATTATCCAAACATTTTTACCTCTTCTCAGAGAGCCAGACACTGTATATGTCTCCTTCAGAACAGAGTGAGAAAAAAACCCAATAAACTACTAAAATCAATATAGCCCTTTGTCAGCAAGACTAAGTTAAAAAAGTTACCTCTAAGTATTACTTAAAACAGGATTCCCTGTCTGCCTGTAGATTTCTATTGCAGTATAGCTAGATAGCAGAGTTCTAATTCCAGCTTCAATATTCACTAGCTGTGTAATTTTGGGCAACTTTCTTAAATTCTGTGGCGTAGTTTATCTCTAAAATCCTCGTAGGTAGGATTGAGTAGATGCGTATGTATGTTCACACGCAAAAACACTTAACAGGCCTCATGCACAGTTAAGTACAATATATGTGTATATCACTATTATTATAGTGCCATTATCATTACTATTATCTATCCCATTGATTCCAGTTATAAACTAGAAGCTGGGGTCTTTCCAGAAAAATGCACACAGGTAAAAGATTTTGAACACAACTGCAAAGGGCCCAGATTCCATATTAGAGAAGCCCTACCAAAGATAATCCACAAGCAACTTGGTTTACAGCAAAGTGGTTCTTAACCTCTCTTGTGCCATGGACCGCTTTAGCAGTCTAATTAATCTATAGATCTCTTCTCAGAATGTTTATTTTTTATTTAGATTTTTAAATTTATTTGACAGAGAGAGAGAGACAGCGAGAGAGGGAACACAAGAAGGGGAAGTGGGAGAGGGAGAAGCAGGTTTCCCGCTGAGCAGGGAGCCCGAGGTGGGGCTCGATCCCAGGACCCTGAGATCATGACCTGAGCCAAAGGTCTTAGGCGGCTTAACGACTGAGCCACCCAGGCGCCCCTCAGAATGTTTTTAAATTTTGAAATGCACAGGATCACAAAATAAACCAATTATAGTTATCAGAATATTTTTAAATTTCTACTTTAGTAATAAATGTGCTTTTCTAATGCATTAAATAACAAGATTTTTAAACATATAACAAGGTGTAATGAACATTAACAGTATTTCAAGATACCTGCAAAAACTGTAATATATGAAAATATTTCTCTTGTTGAATCCATTGCAATTTCAAGAATTTTCAATTCTCGGGCGCCTGGGTGGCTCAGTTGGTTGAGCGACTGTCTTCGGCTCAGGTCATGATCCTGGAGTCCCAGGATCGAGTCCCGCATTGGGCTCCCTGCTCGGCAGGGAGTCTGCTTCTCCCTCTGACCCTCCCCCCTCTCATGCTCTATCTCATTCTCTCTCTCAAATAAATAAATAAATAAATAATCTTTAAAAAAAAAAAGAATTTTCAATTCTCTTCAATTCTAGATTTTAATTAGAAGCTAGTCAGAATAAAGAGGCAATTTTTCTTCCCCTCATTGAAGTTCACAGACTTCGTCAATTCTAACCAGAGACCCAGATTAAGAATTCTTAGATTAAGGGAAAGTGCAAAAATAAGTTCTGGAGCCAGAGACTTGTGTTCTACACGCCAGACTTCAGACTTTAGTCCCCATATTATTTGCACCTGAATGACCTCAGGCATCAAACCATGAGCTCTGGTTCACTCATTTAGAATAATTTCTAAATCCTATAGGTTAGAGGCGCCTGGGTGGCTCAGTTGTTAAGCGTCTGCCTTCAGCTCAGGTCATGGTCCCAGGGTCCTGGGATCGAGTCCCATATCGGGCTCTCCTCTCTGCGGGAAGCCTGCTTCTCCCTCTCCCACTCCCCCTGCTTGTGTTCCCTCTCTTGCGGTGTCTCTGTCAAATGAATAAAATCTTAAAACAATAAAATAAAATAAATCCTATAGGTTATTCCTATAGTTCTAAGAATCAAACATTAGCTAACAAAATGCCACATAGGGGCGCCTGGGTGGCTCAGTCGTTAAGCGTCTGCCTTCGGCTCAGGTCATGATCCCAGGGTCCCGGAATCGAGCCCCGCATCAGGCTCCCTGTTCCGCGGGAAGCCTGTTTCTCCCTCTCCCTCTCCCCCTGCTTGTGATCCTGCTCTCACTGTGTCTCTCTCTATCAAATAAATAAATAAAATCTTTAAAAAAAAAAAATTTAAAAAAATGCCACATAACCAGTGTGTTACCTTTTTTTTTTTTTTTTTTTTACTGATTTTAATACCATATATTCAGCCCCAAATGTTTAGTGACATTGTTAATTTTCAGTCATTATAGGAGAAAAGTTAAAAACCACATACTGGTTCACAAAGAAAATGATTAGTGGAAATATTAATTAACAGTTTAATAAAAGCCATGATTTGGCACTAGAATGACCTATATCTAAATACCAATTCCACTACTTTACTTCTAAGTTAACCTCTCCACCTCAGTGTTTCTCATCTGTAAAACACTGCAATGTTGTTTTAGACACAAGAGAGGATCTAGCTTAAACACTCAATAAATGGAGCGATTATTAAAGTTCATATTTTAACAAAGCCAAACGAATCAATTTGGAACTCAAAAGTATATTTTGGAATTCATGTTAATATGAATAAAACTTCGCATTCTCTTGCCCAGCAAAACACATCACACTTAAAATCTGAAGCATTTGCATGGCATAACGTTCCTAATACAAACTGGCACTGTTTAAAATCATATCTGATTTCTTATCCTGCCGAAAAAAACCCACAATGAGGATAAAAAACGGTAAACAGAATGGGGTCAGTAATCTCAAATCTTTTCAAGATTCACTTGGCAGTGTTCCAATGAATGTTTATTACCAATGTCGGACATACTCTAAGGTAGCTGGGTCTCTTTAAAACCCAATTTAAAGATCTCAAATTTATCAGCTACACATTGTCGGTTAGATTAAAAAAAAAATTAAAGCATGTATTTATTTTATGCCGGAATATTACGGAGTAAAATCCATCCCTCCCTCCTAGAAAGGGGGGGGGGAGAACCTGCCATAGACTGGCCCTGGCTTCTCGATCCATTATACAACCTGTAAATTCCTTCCCTCATTGAAAAGATTCTTTTTATGGGCATAGTTAACAAGTGCCAAGTTGCGAAGTTGCAGCTTTGCTGGTTTGACGTTTTCACAATTCAAGAACAATATGATCTGGAATCTACTCAAAGCATTAGCCAGGCAGTCAGCTGATGCTCACTGCACACAAGAGAAATAAGAGAAACTAAACCTCGTATTTGTGTAAGGTAGGTATCCACTACCTTTAAAACTAAAATAGGCCAGCAGCACACGTTCCAGTTAAAAGTACTTCTGTTAAGTAATATTTAAAAAAAACCAACAAACCCGGCTTTCCTCGGACTAGGTTTCTCTCATTCTTGGAATTTTCCTCGTATAAGGGCTTTTATCCGTCCATAAAGCCAAACCCTCATCACGGAGCCACTGCCTGAGTAACTTTTACAAAAGGTCAAAGCGGTGCCTTTCAAGGCTTCCAAAGCCTACTGGCGTCTCCTCCGTTCACAGTAATTCGCTTTCCACCCACAGAACGTTCCAGAGACTTAGGGACGGGGACCAAACAAAATTTGGTGGGGGTTGCTAAAATGCAGCTTTCAACTTTCTCTTCAACACACTTAGACCGAATTTCACCTTCCTTCCTCCGCGGCCCCACATGTTGCTTGCTTCCCTCCCAGAGGGCCCCGCGAGACCTCGCTTCTCCACCCCCCCCCCGCCCAACGCGCCCACCTGATTACCCTTTTCTCTGCAGACTCCGCCCCCGCCCTGCTCCCCCCCACCCCCCCGCCTGTGTGCCTCCTCTAGGAGGTCCATATGGGACACTTTCCCCTTCCTCTGATTCGCACCTCACACCAGACAAGCCTGGATTCTCCACCTTCAATTCTCCCCCACTACGGCCCTCACTTCCCACAGGTTCTTAAAGTGTTGTGAGAGCGCAGAGTGGAGCCGCAGGCCTGCACGGCCCAGGTGCTGTGTCAGCCTATCTGCCGGTTCCGCGGCGTGTACGGCCTGGAAAGTCACATGGTGGTGGGACCGGCCGGCGCCTCCACTCCTGCTCTCCTCACAGCAGGACGACATTACCAAGTCCACTCACCTCCACGAAGAGCAACATGTCTTCCTCCGCTCAGCCCAATCGTTCTCGCCGCCGCGACTCCAACGGGCTTACAGGCCCGAGCCCCAATTGCTAGGATAAGGACACTCGCCTGGCCCCTCCACCCGGCAGTGGACCCGGCTCCTCCCCCGCCGTCAGCCGCTGCGGCCTGACCCGCCCAGTCCCACCTCCCTTGAAAGAGCAACTGCTTCCGGTTCTAGAGAACAATTGCTTCCGGGAGAAGAGAAACCCCTCGTCGCGCTCAACTTTTGCGCTACCTTTTCCAGCGGCAGCATGGGAGGTACTATCATCAGTCCTGGGGGGAGGAGGGAAGCGATCAGAGGAAAGCACCATTCTGTACCACGGGGGTGTGTAAAAATCTTATTGACGCATTTTATCCCTCGCCAAACGGCGGGCTACCACTGCTGTAATTACGCAGTTTTCATAGTTCAAAATCTAGATCTGATGAAAAGCCGAGCTTGTGTGAAGTGTACTGGACAGACGCCCAATCCTTCCGAAAATTTGGCGGCTCGGAGAAGAAAAGTAGAGAAGAAAAAAAGCGAGTAGCAGTTACAGTAAATATATTAATAGCAGCTGCTGTATATTGAATGCTTACTATGTGCCTGGCATTATTCTAAGTATTTTATGAGAATTAATCTTTTAAAAACCGCATGCAATAGATATTATCCCCATTTTACAGTTGAAGGAGCCCTTTAGAAGTGCAGGTTTCCCTTAAAAACGCCTTTAAAGAACTTTGCCCTGTGTTCGCTTAAATCAGGTACCCACATCTAAGCTACTTAATATGGTGATGTTCTGTCACTGTCACTTCAAATGAAGTACAATAAAAACAAAAATTTAAAAATGGTCTTTATACTTTTCTGTTAGATGATCCAAATTCCTTATTATCTTCAGCAATACCTAGTAAGCTTTATCCTTCCCTATCACTCCCACTTCTATATCCTAGTTCAGACACTTATCTTTTGAAATAATTATGTCTTGATCTTTTCCACTGATTTTTCCCATTCTATTATTTCAAAAATCTTTCTAAATTAAAGGTTTCATTTTCACCAAACTGTTACTTGCTTTCAAGACCTTACCATTCTGATCCCATGTAATCTCCCTTACTTTATCTCTAATGAATCTACTCACTTGTTTACTTGAATACCAAATTAATTTCTCTATCAAATTCCTGGTATTTGTGTTCCATCCTCTCCCTAATCTGATCTACAGTACACTCAACATTACTTCATCTCAGTTAAACCAGTCTCCTCACCTTTCCCCTGAAAGACAAAACTCAACACTCACCTCCAAAGCCATGGCTCAAGGTGTCTTCACTATCTGGAATGCCTTCATTTGTCAATCAACTTTCTCTCTCCATAGGGTTTTCCCAAAGACACTGCTCCCCGCAGATTTCTTCTTCATGTCCCTTATTAGCACTTGAATAGTCTATCTTAAATTATTTTCTTTTTTTCGTTTTTTAGTTTCTTCACTGGTGCCCTATAGTATATTCTTCACATTCTAAGATAATGGTGGCCACATAGTAGTAGTATCACTCAACAAATGCTTGCCAAATTGAAAGGTAAGGAGGGAGCTTTTAAATTTTGCTTTAAAAAAGCCTTCATTTCCAGTTGCTGATGAATCCCATGCTGCATAAAAAATATGAGAGAGGGAGAGAGCACAATAATGCTAAATTAGTTTAGTTGACAAGCATGCAGGCTGCTTTGTGAATGCCTACTGGGATAAGCAATGTAAAAAATCAAGAGAAATGAAAGTTATTTAAGGATCTCACAATCTAATATTATCAAAAAAGTACTTAAACAGATTAATTGATAAGTTCAAGAAATGCTGGATAATGATGGATATTTTAATCAAACTTAACATTTACCAAAATAATTCTTAATTGCGGTCCTTTCAGAAAACATTTTTAACTTCCCTGAATGGACTTAATTGTGATTTGTACAAAAGGAGGGAGTAATTTTTATGACTGGGTGTGAGGGGACGCAATTAACAATAAAAGAAAGTATTCTGGGGCTTAGAACTAAGTTTCCATAGGAATTGAGTCTGAAACGATAATGAATATCCAAATTTTGGAAAATTTCTGAGGAGGAACTGAGGAAGAATATGTCAAAGGTTTAAAACAAACAAAACCCCTAAAACACAGCCTCTGGTTTTGAGAAGTTCACCAACTAATGGACAGAGACAAATAATAGTTACATTCCAGTGAGATAAGTACTATAATAGGAAGTTTACAAAGTGTTTTGGGAACACAGAGGAGGGGTTAACTTAGACAATGAGATATTAGAAGGGAGAATATTTAATTTGCTCTCTCTATATTGATTCATTTCTCAAAGGCAACTACTTTATGTTCCCCTGTCTCCCATTCTCTGAAGGACTGAAATACATAAATTGTTTAACTTCACAAGTTAGCAAGGACTCAACATAGGACTAAGTTTACAATAAGAACTCAACATAGGAAGTTGTATAAAGTCAAAAACCTAAAAGATGATATTATGTAGTTTGTGAATACATGCACCTGTAGTAAAACTATATAAACAGAGACTAGACATAAATACATCAAATTCATGACTGTCATTGTCTCTGTAAAGGGACAGAGGGGAAGGAAGGAGTCTAGGGAGAACACCAAAAGGGATCTCTAATGCTTTATTTTATTTAAAAATTTCTGAAGCAGGGGCGCCTGGATGGCTCAGTCAGTTAAGCCGCTGCCTTCGGCTCAGGTCATCATCTTGGGATCCTGGGATTGAGCCCTGCATGGGGCTTCCCTGCTCAGTAGGGAGTCTGTTCCTCCCTCTCCCTCTGACCCTTCCCTCTGCTCATGCTCATGCTTTCACGCATGCTCTCTCTCTCTCAAATGAATAAATTTTTTTAAAATCTTAAAAAAAAATTTCTGAAGCAAATATGACAAAATGTTAATATTTGTTCATTCTATGTGATAGGCACATGGCTATTTGTTATATTACTTTCTGTACCGTTTCATATTTTTTAATAAATAAAAAAGCTACACAGCTAACAAAACTACCCTATCCTTTAATTGCTCCAGTGTCTTAAATCCTTTCACCTCCTCTGCAATCAAAGGAGCTGCCCAGAGTAGTCCTCTTAGTAACAAAGCAGCGTCCAGTTTTCCCTTCAATTTCTCCAGCCAGCTATGGAATTTCAAAACCTTCTTCGGTCACGTTCCTTGGAAAAATGAATAACTAGGCAGTGCAAAGAGTGTGATCTTCATCCAAATAATAGTTTCCAAATTATTACATGTCTAGGACAAGTTGAGGGGCAGCTGAGGGCATTGTAACACAACTAGTCAATTACAGGTTTAAAATTCTTAAGCAAAACCTCAGGAAGAGAGAAGAATCAGGAGTTACATTTGATATACTGGATCTTGAATTCTAACACCTAGATTATAAGCTTATTTAAGCAAGGCTATATCTTCTATTTCTTTTAGCGTTCCTGTTGTCTATTTCCTACCCTCCCTCCCCCCTACCATCACAGCATATAGATAGAATGCCTAGTTCTCTGCATATAGTAAGCACTCTAGAGATGTTTGAGTCACTGATGTCACAATGGATCTACTATGACATCACCAGGACTGGAATACCATGGTTAGCAACAAATCAGGGTAAACCACAACCTCTGGGAGCAGAAAGACCTCTTCTAGCTTCCTTGTGGACACCTTTCTTAGCATTTGCCTATATTCCGTGAAAAAAGAAGAAATAAAAGAAAATCACTCAACTTTTCATAGGATTTATCAAAATGCAAAGTGGGATAGACGGCGAATCTGAATCAGAAAAAGAAGTTGAGGATTCCATCATGTCCAGAAAAGCCCTTTATAAATCAGGGGTCCCTCAGCTGGAGATCCCATTTGCAGTACAGAATGTCATCTCTAGGATCGAGCAAGCACAGCTTTATCGAGCCAGAGAGGTAGGTCGTCAATGCAAAGTTTACAGATTACAACTGTTTTTTAACCTTCAATGATAAGCTACATTTTTTGAACTCATTTTATTTTCATGATCTTTGACTGTGTTTGAGGTAACTTTAATTTCAAATGACAATTTCACCTGACTCTGTGGATAACATGCTCCAATTTTGTTAGTCTCTTTTACTTTCCTATCAGAATTAATTAAGCCTTTTAAGAAATAAATCACATGTGCTACTGAGTGATTGGGAAAGAAAGAAAAATAAAAATCTATAGCTAATATTGATATCTAATTTCAGTCAATAGTTTTCATTTGTTCTCAACTAAACTTTTATCAAATAGCTTTAACATGAAGAAATATAGTTTGGTTTGAATTCCAGCTCTGGAAGGTGGATTTGTTGACCAGTAGAAACCCGAGGACAATGAACAAAAGCTTGAATAATACAACAATCCAATAAACTCCAAACAATTAAGGGTATACTGCGTTCTGTTCTCTCAGAATACAACAAAATCAGGTTAAAAGAAATTAATTCAAGTAAGTTTTTTCCTATGTTTAAGGAGTGCTAAATATTTGTACTTTCTCATTCTCCAAATAAACTTACTCCTGCTCCAACTCCCCACAACTAACAACAGTAACCTGGTGTTTGCTTTTAACACCTTTATTGAGGTATAACTGACACATAATAAGCTGTATATATTTTTAAGTATACAAGTTTTGATATATATAAACACCTGTGAAAACCTCATCACAATCAACATAATGAACTTACCCGTCACCCCAAAAAGTTTCCTTACACTTAGTTACAATTCTTCCCACATACCCTTCCCAACCCCCCCACCCCAATCTCTAGGCAACTGCCAATCTGCTTTTTCTGTCCCTATAGATTATTTTGCATTTTAAAATAATTTTATGTAAGTGGAATCATACAGCATCTACTTTCTCTCAAATAAATAAAATCTTTAAAAAAAGATTCTTACTCCCTCACCCTCTGCCCCCAAAAACGAAATTGGCTATGAATATTTGTATATTTATTCATGACTTATTTTATAGACATATTTATATAAACATTTCATTTCTTTGGGATAAATACTTAGGTTGGAATGGCTGGGTCACACAGTATATAAATGTTCAATTTTTTAAAAACTACCAAACTTTTGGGGCGCCTGGATGGCTCAGTCGTTAAGCGTCTGCCTTCGGCTCAGGTCATGATCCCAGCGTCCTGGGATTGAGCACCACATCGGGCTCCCTACTCAGCGGGAAGCCTGCTTCTCCCTCTCCACTCCCCCTGCTTGTGTTCCCTCTCTCGCTGTGTATCTCTCTGTCAAATAAATAAAATCTTAAAAAAAAAACAAAACTACCAAACTTCTAAAAAGTGGTTATACATCTGTTGGCCATCTGGATGTCTTCTTTGGAAAAATGTCTATTCATGTCTTTGCCCATTTTTAAACTGGATTATTTATTTTTTGGGTGTTGAGTTTTATAAGTTCTTTATATATTTTGGATACTAATCCTTTATCAGATATGTCATTTGCAAATATCTTCTCCCATTCTGTAGGTTGCCTTTAAGTTTTTTGATTGTTTCCTTTGCTGTGCAGAGCTTTTTATTTTGGGGCACCTGGGTAGCTCAGGTGTTAAGCGTCTGCCTTCGGCTCAGGTCATGATCCCAGGGTCCTGAGATCGAGCCCCACATCGGGCTCCCTGCTCAGTGGGGAGCCTGCTTCTCCCTCTCCCATCCCCCTACTTGTGTTCCCTCTCTCGCTGTCTCTCTCTCTGTCAAATAAATGAATAAAATCTTTTAAAAAAAGCTTTTTATTTTAATAAAGCCCCAATACCTTATTTTTGCTTTTGTTTCCCTTAGCTCAGGAGACCTATGTCAAAGAGGTTACTACCTGTGTTCTCCTCTAGGATTTTAATGGATTCCTGTCTCACATTGAGGTCTTCAGATCCATTTTGAATTTATTTTTGTATATGGTATATGAAAGGGGTCCAGTTTCATTCTTATGCATGTTGCTGTCCAGTTTTCCCAACACCATTTATTGAAGAGACTATCTTTTCTCCATTGGATATTCTTTCCTGCTTTGTCGAAGATTAATTGACCATATAGTTGTGGGTTCATTTCTGGGTTTTCTATTTTGTTCCATTGAACTGTGTGTCTAGTTTTGTGCCAATACCATCATCAGGGAAATACAAATCAAAACTACAATGAGATATCACCTCACACCTGTCAGAATGGCTAAAATTAAGAACACAGGAAATAACAGGTGTTGGCGAGGATGCCAAGAAAGAGAAAAACTCTTACACTGTTGGTGGGAATGCAAACTGGTGCAGCCACTCCGGAAAATAGTATGGAGGTTCCTCAAAAAGTTAAAAATTGAACTATCCTATGACCCGGCAACTGCACTACTAGGTATTTACCCAAAGGATACAAAAATACTGATTTGAAGGGATACATGCACCCCTATATTTATAGCAGCATTATCAACAATAGCCAAATTATGGAAAAAGCCCAAATGTCCATCAACTGATGAATGGATAAAGAAGATGTGGTATACACATACAATGGAATATTACTCAGCCATAAAAAGAATGAAATCTTGCATTTGCAACGATGTGGATGGAGCTAGAGAGTAGTATGCTAAGTGATATAAGTCAGTCAGAGAAAGACGAATACCATTTGATTTCACTCATATGTGGAATTTAAGAAACAAAACAAATGAACATGGTTGGGAGTGGGGAAGAAAGGCAAACAAGTAACTAACTCTTAACTATAGACAACAAACTGATGGTTACCAGAGGGGAGGTGGGTGGGAGGATGGGTTAAATAGAGAAAGGGAATAAGGAGTGCACTTGTGAGGAGCACCGGGTGTTTTGTGGGAGCGTGGAATGATAATATTGTACACCTGAAAATAATATTACACTGTATGTTAACTAACTGGAATTTAAATTAAAACTTTTAAAAAAGTGGTTATACTATTTTATATTCCCACAAGCAGTATATGAGATTTGCAGTTGCTCCACATCTTTATCAACACTTGATGTTGTCGGTCTTTTTAATTTTAACCATTCCAAAAGGTATACAATAGTATCTCATTGTGGTTTTAATTTGCAGTTTCATAATGACTAATGATTTTGAGCAACTTTCCACAAGTTTATTTGCACTCAGTATGTCTTCTTTGGTAGTTCAAATATTTTGACCATATTTTAAAAGCTTATAAGTCTAGGTTCTTATTATTGAGTTTTGAGTATTTTTATGTATTTTGATTGCAACTTTTAGCAGATAAGTGATTTGCAAATATTTTTTCCCATTCCGTGGCTTGTCTTTTTCTACTAATTGTGTCTTTCAAAGAACAAAACTCCTTAGTCCAATTTATCAATGTTTTCTTTCTTTCAAAGCAAACTTTGACTAACCCAAGGTCACAAACATTTTCTCCTATGTATTCTTCTAGGAATTTTACATTTAGGTCTATGGTTCATTTTGTCTTAATCTTTGTATATGATATCAGATATTGATTGAGATATTGTGGGGTTTTTTAGACAATTATTCTAGATCCATTTGTTTAAAAGACCATCCCTTCTCCATTGCATTGCATTGCACCTTTATTGAAAATTAATTAACCATATATGTATGAATTTATGGACTCTCTAGTCCGTTCTCTTGATCTATTTATCTATGTTTATGCTAATACTACAATGTCTTGATTACTGAGGGTTTTTGGTCTTTTGTTTGTTTTTTGATTACTGAGGTTTTATGATAATTCTTGAAATCATAAACTTTTAGTTCTCCAACTTTGTTGTTTTTCAATTATGCCCAACTTCTCTCACATCTTCCTTTTACCCTCATTTCCTCTTCTTGGGCTTCTTTCTCTGGCGTGACACACTCAAACACTCATAACCTAAAAACTGTCTCTATCTACACTGCTTTCTCCCTTTGCATTTCCATATAAAATTTAGAATCAGGCTGTCAAATTCTACTGGGGGAAAAAGCCTGCTGCTATAGATCAATTCGGGGAGAATTGAGAACTTAATTTTGAGTCTTCTGACCTGTGAAAACAGCATATCTCTGTTTTTATTTAGGTCTAATTTTTTCTCAGAAGTGCTAGGCCTTGCATATCTTTCGTTAGATTTGTCCCTAAGTATTTCATATTTTTTTACTATTGCGAATAGTATTGCTTTTTAATTTCCATTCTCAATTGTTCACAACTGATATATAGAAATACAATAGATTTTTGTGTGTTCATCTTGTATAATAAAACCTAGTTATGAGTCCTCATAGATTTTCTTCATACTTTCTTTGGGATTTTCTATATAGACAACCCTGTTATATGCTAAAAGAGGCAGTTTGATTCCCCTTTTCATATCTGTGTGCATTTCAAATTTGTTTTTGGGGGGAGGGAGGAAAATAAATAAACTTCCTTTTTAATTTACTGAGTAGTCAAGGAACTCCAGTATAAAGTTGAATAGAAGTGATGAAACATCCTTGCTTTCTTCTTGATGTTAAGGAAAAGCATTCAGTCTTCCCCCATTGAGTATGATAGTAGCAGTATATTTTTTTATGGCATTCTTTATCAAGTTGGGGAAATTCTCTTCTTTTCCCACCTTGCTGATATTTTTAATCAGGAATAGATACTGGGTTTTATCAAAAGGTTTTACTGCATCTATTGGGATAGTCATGTTTGTTTGTTTGTTTTGTCTTTTAGAATCTGTTAAAATAGGGAATTACATTGATTTATGACTGATAAACCAACCTTGCATTTTTTGGATAAATTCCATTTACTCATAATGTAGCATTCTTTTTATTATCTTGTATTCAATTTGCTAAAATTTTGTTAATTTTGTGTCTATGTTTATAAAACATATTAGTCCGTAGTTTTCTTTTAATACCTTGGTTTTGGCATCAGACTAATGCTAGCTTTATAGACTCAGAATTATTCTTTTCAATTTTCTGTAAGACTTTTTGAGAATTGGCATTTCCTTTTATGTTTAGTAGAAACCCACTAAGTGTTT